AATGATTGTTTTCTTATTACCCTTTATGTAAGGTCTTATTAATTGTCAGTTTGTTTTGAATTATTTTATTAGAGTGATTTTTTGTAAAATCAGGAGGGGAGTGTAGTGCCCCGGAATTAATCTTTCCGGATTTGTTGGTTTTTACCTTACTTTTATTGTTTACCGGAAACGATCTAAGGCATCAGTGCCAACCTCGTGGGTTCCAGAACCCAGCTTATTTTACTGCATTTAAAGCCACCTATGAAGTAAGTTTTATGATTTTTCATTTACTATTATGTGTAGGCAATGCATAATATTCGTTTTCTAGTCATGTGTAATTTTTTAACTGTCATATTGAGTCAAGGCGCACTTGGCGCGTTTTTTGCCTGTCTTTGTTTGATCGTTAAATTTGATTGCAACAATTGATTGATTATTCCATTATTAATACATCTGTAAACATGCTAGGGATAAACTATGTTGATGTCTGTCTATTATCTTTTGGAAATTATTTCGTTAGAACATCTCCTCCTTGAAATCTGTTAAAAATTCAAAACTATGGAAACCCGCTCTAGTCATATTTTTATTATGTATGTTTTATATCGACATATTGCTTACATTTTTGTATTGTTTGTTTGTAGTTTTTCACCCTCTCCGGGGGTTTGGATGCAATAAACTCATTCAACATTGCACAACATTATCATTATTAAAAGGAAGTTAATAATGCAATGCTATGTGTGGAATAACAATAATTCATTGGGAAATTCCAGTGATTTTGAATTATCTGGGTAGATGCTCTCAAAAATTAGTTGATGCTTTCAGTGAATTAATCTATAACTTGCTATATATTAATCATCACTTTTGTTTGAATTCCATTTCCTACTAACTATTAAACGGGACAATGTTTTTGATTGAAAATTTCATTAAACTATATACTTATTTTTATATGCAATTCTGAAAAATGTTTTGTTTATATCCTTTGTCTGCACAAGTTCTCTGAATTTTTTTCTTTACATTTTGTTCATAAATCATCAGTCTTCACGAAAACTCGCTGGTCCGAAGACCGTGGCCAGTGAATTTTGAGGTCGGGTCAGTGAAAATCAAAATTTAAGAAGTCCGATGGGCTTGTTGATCATAAAAATCATACACATGCAGTCAAAAATTTTTTCAACTGACTTACTTGCGTAAATTCCATTTATATATTAAATAAAAAGAACAAGCTCGTGTTATTGAATCGAATTATTATAACCCTATTATAACATGGATGTATTACGTAACAACCGGAACTAGCAAGTAATTATTAACTATTATGTAAAATGTTCAACGTTCCAATGAACAACTTACCGAAACGCGACAAAGGGCGAAAAATGGCGGCATTTCAAAAGTTGAAGTACGTAAACATGTAATGATGTATAAATTCACAGTTATGAAAATGTATTTATTTTATTTTTTTTATGAAAGGGGCCAGTAAAAATTTTGGTGGGCTTGTAAATTTTGAAAGTTCACTGGTCCGACTGCATGGCCAGTTAGTTTGAAAAGTTTTCGTGAAGACTGAATCATGGTGTAAATACTTACTGCTGCAAATGAATTAAAATCAATGAGAAATCATTTTAACAAATACTTGAAAGCTGAGAAAAATGGTGTTAAAATTAGTAAATGTTGTATTCCAGTGACTTCACAATCAAAATGGTTAACATTGCAACAGGGGACACTAAGAAATTTGAGGGACATGAGGCCCCTGTGTTGAGTGTGGTTTTGGACCCCAAAGAGGAGTTTCTGGTGAGTCCCCCCCCCCCCCCAGCAAAGGGATTCCTCCCATACAAATCTGTTTTGTTCTCTGATTGTTTACCAATAAGGGCGAAACGATTACACATGTAAATGGCGACGTTTCGATTATATGCTCTAAATGTTTACAGTTTGAGTAAACGTTTACAAGAAGGTCATTATCAATGTCTATTAGAAATAAAGTTTAACAAAAGAAATACCGTCTTTGACCATTTGATAAGCAACAATCTAAACTGGAAACATATTGAATGAAAATAACTAAAACCCGATACGGGCTAACATAATTCCGATTTCCGAGTTGCTAATACTAGCGATGTTTTACGACACTTGAAATATAAAACCTGATATATTTTGATTAAATAAATATATAACATTTTTCACAAGTCTTTGAAAAGTTTCAATACAGTCAGCAGTTCTTGTTTTTAGGTCACCTGAGTAAACTCAGGTGACCTATTGCTATCCGTTTTTGTCCGTCGTCCGTCGTGCGTCGTGCGTTAACATTTAAACATTTTCAGCTTCTTCTCTGAAACCACTGAACCAATTTCAACCAAATTTGGCATATAGCATCTATGGGTGAAGGGGAACAAAAATTGTGAATTTGGTGGTCCCCGCCCCCCTGGGGCCTGGGGGGTGGGGCAAAAACCACTAAAAATAGTGCAATCTTTAAAAATCTTCTTCTTTACTCCCGGACATCAAGCAGTCAAACTGTTGGTATGATTGTAATCAGCATTGAGTCCTCTACCAAAATTGTGAAACTCATGGCCCCAGGGTCAGGGGTTCTGGTGTTAGGGCGGGGCTCTATTGATTATATAGTGAAAATGCAGTAAGTCTTTAAAAATCTTCTTCTCTGCTCCTGGGTATTAAATAAACAAATTAAGTTCATAGTTATGATGAGCAAGAGTGCCTCTACCAAAATTGTGAAACTCATGGCCCCAGGGTCAGGGGTTCTGGAGTTGGGGCGGGGCTTTATTGATTATATAGTGAAAATGCATTAAATCTTTGAAAATCTTCTTCTCTGCTCCTAGGTTTTAAATAAACTAACTAAGTACATAGTTATGATGAGCAATAGTGCCTCTACCAAAATTGTGAATTTTATGGCCCCAGGGTCAGGGGTTCTGGTGTTAGGGCTGGGCTCTATATTGATTATATAATGAAAATGCATTAAATCTTTGAAAATCTTCTTCTCTGCTCCTAGGTATTAAATACACTAATTCAGTAAATAATTATGATGAGCAAGAGTGCCTCTACCAAAATTGTGAAATTCATGGCCCCAGGGTCAGGGGTTCTGGTGTTAGGGCAGGGCTCTATTGATTATATAGTTAAAATGTATTAAATATTTGAAAATCTTCTTCTCTGCTCCTAGGTTTTAAATAAACTAACTAAGTAAATAGTTATGATGAGCAAGAGTGCCTCTACCAAAATTGTGAAACTCATGGCCCCAGGGTCAGGGGTTCTGGTGTTAGGGCAGGGCTCTATTGATTATATAGTGAAAATGTATTAAATATTTGAAAATCTTCTTCTCTGCTCCTAGGTTTTAAATAAACTAACTAAGTAAATAGTTATGATGAGCAAGAGTGCCTCTACCAAAATTGTGAAACTCATGGCCCCAGGGTCAGGGGTTCTGGTGTTAGGGCAGGGCTCTATTGATTATATAGTGAAAATGTATTAAATCTTTGAAAATCTTCTTCTCTGCTCCTAGGTTTTAAATAAACTAACTAAGTACATAGTTATGATGAGCAAGAGTGCTTCTACCAAAATTGTGAATTTTATGGCCCCAGGGTCAGGGGTTCTGGTGTTAGGGCGGGGCTCTATTGATTATATAGTGAAAATGCATTATTTCTTTGAAAATCTTCTTCTCTGCTCCTAGGTTTTAAATAAACTAACTAAGTACATAGTTATGTTGAGCAAGAGTGCCTCTTCCAAAATTGTGAATGCCTTAGCATCTAGCTTAAAACATGAAACAAATTCAATCATTTGAAAGTTGTTGCATGATGCTCAGGTGACCTATAAGGCCCGTGGGCCTCTTGTACTTTTTTCGAGATTAAAAGATCCATCTTTACAATTATTTTTTCTACGTCCGGTAGCCAAACAAACCAAGCAGTTGGGTGACGAGGTCGAAATTAAGTGAATGAGTTTAATGCGCCTCAAATTTTAACGGTTAAATCACAATGACCAACAATAAATTTTTAATAACAACTCATACTTATATTAAAGTGAAAGAATTGACTATTAAATTCAAGTTTCATGAGTAAGTAGCCATAAAAATCCAATATAGAATATCTCCCGTTTAAACGGTACCGTTTCGTTTACTGCTATCCGTTTAAACGTTTACAAAATTTAGTAAATGTTTCACCCTTATTTACCAAACATACATCTAAATGTCAGCTATTTTTACGAAACATACATCTAAATTTTAGCTACATTTACTAAACATACATCTAAAATTCTAAATGTTAGCTACTTTATTAAACATACATCCAAATGTAAGCTACTTTTAGCTTGATTTAACAGAAAAAAAGCATAAGAATGGTTAGGATCTGACAATATTTCTAGAATAATATTTTATACTCTTGTAGGCCTCTGCCAGTTGCGATGGAAGTGTGCTAATATGGAAACTGGAAAATCGTGAAAAAGTGAAAAATTTGCAAATTCTTCCTAAAGTCAGTGACGTTAGGTATGTATTGATTTTTAATGTACAAGATATTGAAAATACACTGTAGATCTGATTACAAGTTTTTCACTTTTCATTGTATTGTAAATCACTTTGGATTTGAAAGAACTTTATTTTTTGCAAGAGGGTCTGCTTGCATGGATTTGATTCTCTTGTTTTTTTAATAGTATAAAGTATAAACAGCAAAAAACCAGCAATTGTGAAAATTATGTCTGGCTTTATAAATTGTAAAAATACAACTACGGAAAATAGAGTCTTGCAAATATTTGCTGATCAACAGTATTAGAATGTTATAAGGATGTTTTTTGTTTTTTTTGATGTACAGCTTGACCAAGGGATGGTGCAGACTATGCTGGGAGAAGAACGGAAAGGTTAGTCAATTTAATTCAGGAAAATGTTTCCTGTAAAAGAATTTTTTGATAATCAAATTTTACATTTCAACAGGACTGGGGATACAAAATTTTAATGTGAACTTTGAAAGTTGCAACCTTTTTATTCAAGCATACCCTTTCTTCTGTTGCCCTGTATGCAGTGTTGAAAGGAGGGATTATATAGTCTGATTTAGGACAGATATGTTTGTATTCTAGACTTCTTTCCAAGGAAAATTGCATAAACCACATATGGATTTTGCAATTATTACATAACCAAGCAATTATTTACATAGAGAGTATTTATCTTGGGCATATTTTTTTGCATATGAGGAAAAATAGATTTGAGCTTGGTATATATAATTAACACGGGGAATAACTCAAATGACATGAACATAAATCTTGCAGAGTTGCATTAAGTATACAAACCTAAAGTAAGAGGTACTTTTTCTGTATAAATTTCATTCAAGACTAAGAAAACTTAATTTATTTTTCATATGAAGTTGATTGTAATGCTATAATTGTAGTTCCTGTATGTTCCAATGGAGAAAGAAATCCACATCTACGACAGAGGTACCTGGACAAAAACGGGATCTTTACAGGACAGTCAATTTTCTGGGGTACGTTGGCGGTCTTATTTAAATTATCACGATTCTGTGAATTGTTAGCTATATCATGTGTTAGCCAAATTTAAATATAGTTTTTTGTCTAAATTTGATTTAAGAGTCATTTTTTTTCTCCAAAGAATAAATTCTTGTATGTGCTACTATAGAATATAGTTTTGGGATCAAAATTTGACCAGAGGTTTGTTCTGATACTTTTCTTTAATCAACTTTATGACTATGTAATAATATATGTATAATCATTTGTTATAGTGTGATCCTGCTAACACTCATTGCAGAGTGTGTCTTTATGTTTTTACAATATATGTCAAATTCAAACTGTAAATTTTTCTCACCCTGGCTTGGGATGCATATGCTTTCAGTACTCATTTAGCTGAAAGTTTTTTGTTAAACTGTAAACCTTGTCAGTCCCAATTGTCTAATATGGAATGTTTAGTTATAAATTGTTCATAAACTGTATTTTCTTTTGTTATATATAAATGTATATTTCTGTAGGTGTACTCAGTGCTGGATATCTCACCTGAAGGTGATTACCTGGCAGCAGGAAGTTACGACGGACAAATTCTGATTTATAACCTACAAACCAAAACCTGTGTGGACAGGTGAGAGAAAAAGTCCGGCAAATTTATTCTATTAAAACATCCCATGTTTAGCGTTATTTTCTATTAAAGTTTACATTTTGAAACAAATGTATGAAAGCAGAATTAAAAAAAAAAATGCTGGAATAAGATATATATAAATTTCAAGTCTGATTAACCAGGGTAACAACTAATTAACCAAACTTTCTTTGGAAATTGCAGGTATTA